ATCATCCTGTTAAACTGATCAAAAAAATGCACCAAAAACAATTTACCTTGTCACGAATATCATATCTATCAATTACGCGAAGTATCACAGACGCGATGTTAGCACCACCATGATTACCCTCAATCTCAGTAAATCCGAGAAGTTCAGACTTAAGCTCCCACTTATCAGAACCGTTCGTTGAATCTATATAATGGCCTGTAATCGCCAAATAAGGATCCATCGATTTTGATGTCCAAGCGTCGAATGTAAATGATATCTGTGCTGGTATATTCTAAACCAGGATGTGTGAAAATTGTAGAAAGAACAACGAATGAGCTTACCTCGAAGCGCTCACTGAGGCGAACCTCCGCAACCTTTCCTTTCTCCAGAACCTCGTCGTGAAATTTGGTGCGACGTGGAATATCCGAATCTTTGGTGGTTGGGCGTTGAAATTTGAGTAGGCGGCGGAATGAATCCTTTTCGACGATAGAAAATGGCTAAAAAAATAAAGGTTAGTCTAAAACCATAAATTCGAGCTAATTGTATTATAAACCTCGTCTTCAGTTGCAACGTACTCAATGAGGTGCTCAAGCAAGCCCTCTCGTGACCATTTCGGTACAGGCTTTAAAAAGCCCTCGATGCTTTGCTGTTCTGCACACCCGTCACTGGGTTTGTCAGAAGGAGCAAGCGCGCGTGGATGGGGGGTAATTCCCTTTGCCTGGCATTTTGCGAGGTAAGTCTCACCATGGGAAGCCCAGTTACTGTAATTAATATGTACGGGATCAGATGTCAATAAAATAATTGATAGGAAAACGAGAGACGGACCGTGAAATGTGAGTCCGACGAGTAGTAACACTACCTGTAAAGAACGCGTTTGCATCAGGCTTCTTTAGATGTCTGGGAAAGGTGTCAAATTGGTCCTGGAAGAAGGAAGAGCAAGAAACTTACCTGCATACCTCGCACCAATATCCCTGACGTTCCTCACCATCGACTGTAACAGTTCCAGCGGTATATAGAGTCCGTAAATCCTCGGTACGTTCATCTTGTCCTCGATGGGAATGTTTGCGGGGAGCCTAACCAAAATGAGTAAGTTGACGAGAGAAAAATAACTACTCACGCGTTGCTCATTCTGAATGCCCTCTCGCATCGCCTCATATTGCGCCACTGGATCCACCTCTTTCTCCTCTTCCCCCTCATCATCGTCGTCATCGTCTCCCTCGTCATCACCATCAGACCCATCTTCTTCCCCCGATTCGTCGTCTTCACTATCTTGAGTTTTCTTCTTTCGTCGTTTCGCAGGAAGTTGCTTTTTTGATGCGTTCTTCGGTCCAGAATCAGCGCGCTTGCGTTTCGTACCACTTGGGTCTGAACCAAAGTCGTTAGAAGCTGCAGTACGTGGCCATCGCATCTTACCTTTTGCATCGTTTGGCGCTGTGGCCCCGATTGACTTGGATTCAGAGTTTTTTGTAGCTGAGGTGTACTTAGCTTGTTGTACCAATAAAGGATATCAATTCTTACCACCATAGGATCCTTTGGTCGTCTGTCCACCTGTAAATGAATAGTAAGTTTGTGGAAAAGAAAGGTGATGGATTAGACGCACGTTTTTCGACAGGTGTGGGTACGGCTGTCAATCGAGTCATCAACGTGAATCTAAATTTAGCCAGATAAACGTACCTGTGGGTTTCGCCGATGTTGACGATTTAGAACCTATGAATGAGTGAGAATTAGTAGTGAAAATATTAATGTCTACGTTACCTTTCTTAAAGAATGGATGAACTTGAGCTCCTTCACCTTTTCCCTTTCCCTTTGGTTTTTCCGCTTCCATTCCCTTAACCTTCTCCGTCTTCCGTGAGTGGCGCTTCCCTTTAACGATTAGCGCTCGTTCAAGAAGGGGAACTGTTCTGGGAAGATCAGAGCCAGATGAAGTTGCCGAGCCAGTGTCGTCATCAGAGCACTTGTATCCAATCGGGTTTTTGTCGCTAGGTGAATTAAAGAAAAGAATGTCGTTGGCATCCTTGAGGGTGCCATCTTTGGCAAGCGCGCAATTGTCGGGGTCGGACATTCTGTGAGAGATCACTGAAAAATAGAAGACGAATTTGAGTGTATTTTCTTGTTGATTAGTTCTTCAGCCACAACTTGCGGCAATCACCGAACCATATATATATATAAGTTTCTACAGCGCATGTCATGTTCAACTGCACATAAAGTCAAAAAAAAGAGATTTTCAAGCAGAAAAAACTTACAATAGGTTCGGGTTCGAACGTGTTCAGAGTAGGTTCGAAAAAATCAACGTAAGCCTGAACCTCGAACCGAACGTCACTATCAAAGGTCGGACCTGAACCTGAACTTGAACCGAACTTCAGTTCGGTCCAGAAGGTTCGAGTTCGAACCAAGGTTCAGGACCGAACTTCGGCAACGCTACTTGCAACATACCTTTTCTTGCGAGTTTTGCGTTGCCCGTTGTTGAACTCTTGTATCACTTTTTCTTGTGACTCTCTACTTAATTCTTGCATTCTTGTACACTTTTTGTTATACTTAATGTCCCCGTAATATCTCTAATACCATTATATGTTTTGGAATGTTCTGATGTCAAAACCTGGCCGCTAAACCGGCAGCGGGAAATGTGCTTGAGCATCGAGGTTCGCGCCGTCACACTCTCGCGCTTGAGACGGTTGGGAGGCAAGAGCCTCTTAGCGCGTTGACAGTCTTGACGCGTTGACGGTCTTGACGCGTTGACGGTCTTGACGCGTTGACGGTTTGGCGCCTTGGTAGCAGGAATCCTGGCGCTGAGCGCTCCAGATCATCTCCCAATTGCCTTCTCCATTAGGATTAATGAAGAAGGCGCCATAGCGCTAACCCCCCCTGAGGCCAATTCTCTTCAGTCAAAGAATCGGCCTCTGAGGTCTTCTGCCGGTCCAAAGCGCTAGGCATGAAGTGTGATTCGTTTTACACCCTTCACTCACATCTAAATTTTATTTATCGTCATTTTTACTTCCTACTAATACCCATGGAACACGACCACTCGGACCATTCCCTCCCATATTCACTGCACCTGGCACCTGGCCATTTTCCGTTACTTAACTGGCTGTGAGCAACGCCAGTGAGTACTAGGACTCGGAGGGTAGGACCATCCACCGTGTGCCCACCGTCCGACACTGCCCACCGGCACCTTTGGCCGAGGAAGAAAACCGCGCTCAGCCAGTTTCGCTCTCTCTCGGATCCTTTAACCGCGTGTGTGTTCATTGCAAATGAAGTTGGCCGCGGATACATGAGAGGTGGAGCTAATGAGTAATCAAGTACGTGTCTCTCAGATTCATCCAGTCCTCTTCTCTAACAACTTGTATCGCCTGTCATCCAAGTCTCTTACTGATGTATACCGGTCACCGCCCATAATTTCTACCTCTGCGACGCAAACTCAAACAGCATATACACTGCCCGTCAACGTTTCGATCACAGGTTGATCAACGGCTCGAGGACGAGTCCGGAAGATTGCATCACGTACCGTACGTTCACGCTCTACCCTTTCTAATTGCTTTCTAAGTTCTAGTTTGTTGAGAATACATTCATCAGTACTGTACCATTCCCCCGGGCTCCATTCACGACGCCAGGGATACGGTTCCTATGACGATGTGCTGAGGACGAGAGGGTACTTGTGGTGGAGAAGAATCAAAAACAGTGTTTCATCGCAGGTACGAACGGCAATTGTATGACTGATTAATTCACGCTAAGCGTCTTCATTTCTAGAGAGCAGCTCCCAAACTCCGTACCAGTCTGCTGCCCTTGGCTATGTTGTGGCCCTGGTTTCTTTTGGTCAGGCTTAAGATCGACCAAGCACGTTCAACATCCGACGCACTCGACTCACCACGACGCATTAAACTGCCCTGGACCACGTCCTATACGTAAAACGCTGGGTGATGTCTTGTACGTCCTATTGCTTTGGGTTTGACTACAACATCTCCAGCTTTCGACGACGAGCTAATCACATTATCGTTTTGCAGGGTCAATGACGTAGCAACCCAAGGGCCAAGGCGCCAAGTTTACACAAACGAGCACACCGTCGGGTAGGTGATGAACCAACGCCTGCTTCGAATGTCAGTGCGAAGGATGATGTGCTTGCCCGTGCCAACCCCTCTGGCCGTCTGGTGTTCCGTGATTCGTGCCGATGTTTTCCTTGGGTCCTCCCCACTTAGATTCCAGCACTCCACCAACGGCTCTCCTTAACGACAGCTATCCAGCGCAGTGCTTCCAAGCCCAGCCAAAAAACATCACAACTTACGATCACCGACGGAATGGGCCTGTGCTGAAGGAAACCAAGGTCATCCTGGTGACCCCCATCATTTATCATCTGTTACAACGTATGAAACACAACGCGCACTCCTACGGATTCGTGAGGAGGATGGTAGCGAGAGGGGCGAGAAGGAATGTGAGGGACGATGGATGACAGGAGATAGAGCCAGAATGACGTGTAGCGTGATAGGGTGGGTAGGTCCTACTTGGGAAAGACCCAGCTAGGTGTGCTCGCCTTTGCGATTTAATGTTCGTTTTAGCTTGTCTCCATAGCGAATCCACTGCCCTTGTGAATATTTGACATGAAATGTTGTCTCTTCGTCGCCTTGAGTCCGCTGAAAGTCATTGTTTTCCCTTTCTCGCACTTCTCTGTTGACCACCATTTTTTCTGGCGCTTCCAGGTGCTTCGACTTGGCGCCCACTGCGCGTTAAATGTCAGCTGACCCCTGGACCGGCGTGCGCCGCACAGCATCGACGCTCTCTTCTGAACCACGATGTCTGATCTTAATCGCCCCCGCGAAAATCATTTGAAAGGAGAGTCCAAGAAATTACCTGATCGCCTCATGGACGCAAATCACCCACATGATGAACGCCCGG